CGGCAAGTATGCAACAAAGAACAGCGTCCGAAAAATATACGAAAGGACATGATACTTTAGAGCGCTATCCAGAGCAATGACCTTCTTGAGTTTCACTACACGTAGCGCGGATATGGAACAGCAGACTAGCACAAGACCCTTTCGAGATTCATTTGTAAAGGGCAAAAACGAGGACGTTTCAAAGTGGACTGAAACGTTTGAGGACAGCTGACATCTGTAGTGGATCCAAGTTTCAGTGTCGACGATCTGCAATCGACTTGCGTTTGTAATCTCTGCTCCTGTCTTTTAAGACATGATAGTATATAGCACGAAAATGCAGAAAATACAGAAACTGCTACAGTATGCTTATTCTATTGACAGTCGCCTTGCTGCTTTGTGCGTGGTCAAAGCAGCCGATATCTCTTGTCCAGGCAGTACGAGTTTAGTAAATACTAAACTGCGCGTCATTCATGCCGTAATATACACTGTAGTTACAGCACGTACAGTACCCGAAGGGTACATAAAGCATCTTGTTGTTGCCACGTGTCGTACAGTACAAGCTATCTGTCATCTCCGTCCGTCGTCCACTCCGATAAGTCCGAATAGCTCTCATGCTCCTCCGACTTTACCACTATGGCTTTGTCTCGATCCGGATCATGGCCGACCAATGCTTGATTCTCCTCCACCGACGTGTCCTTCTTCCGCCGGATGGGCTTGCCGCAACACATATACCTCCTCGCCAGCACGTCGACGAACACGCCCACGACCATCATCACCGCCGCCACGACCACAAACACGATGCCCACCGGACGTACATTTTCCACGGTGCGACACTCCGCGAGCCACATCTCAGCGACGACGCTCTCCATTGCCGGGCTGACGTCGGTCATCCTCGTCACCACGCTCGCAAACCTCTGCCCCGAAATCGCCATCAGCTCCACGCCCTTGATTGCCATCGGCAGCGCTGTGAGCACGTCACTCATAAAGCCATACACAATCAGCGCCGGCAAGCTGACCTCCGCCACCAACGCCACCGGCACGACATTTAAAACCATCGGCAACGCCAGTATGGCGATATTACTCGCACTGGTGGCGTCTTGTACCTGTCGCACAGAGATATCCGCCTTACTCATGGCGTCCCTGATGGCCAAGTGATCTTCGATGTTATGCACGCCCATCTGGAACGGACGGACAGCTCCCCTCCACCTAACGATGCTGGTACTCGCATTCGGGGTAGCCTCCTCTCCATCACCGCCGCGCACGGGCAGCGTCATGCGCGCACTGACAAGCGTTCCATTATCGCTCCTTACAAACTCACCCACGAACGCGCGGGCGTAGTCTGGGAGCCAGTCATCGCTGGGCTCGTTCGTGATCTGGAGCCTTGCGTACCACTCTCCCCCCACGCGGATAGCTGTCTCGGCCGCGACGCGGCACGTGAGGCCGGCGCGGTCGAAGCGCCACGCGACCTTGTTCTCCGCGCGGTGCCACGTGAGGCCGACCAGTCCCGCGAGCTGGACGGCGATGTCGGAGACGGCCTGGCCGCGCGCGCGCACGAGGGCGTCTAGGTGCGAGAGGCGGACGTCGACCGCGTCCGGCAGGCCGAAGACGTCCGTGACACAGATCAGGCCGGGCGCGGCCCAGCCGCGGTTGGTCATGAAGTTGGCGCGGGCTTTCCTCGCGCGCACGTTGCACGTGGCGAAGGGTGACGGCAGGGGGAGGGCGCCGCGGTTGGCGTTATGCGCGCGGTGCACAGCGAGAGAGATGTTCTCGAAGACTGAGAGGAGCGTTGACGTGGAGGCGATCAGGGGCTGGTGCGTGCTGGCCAGGGCGGCGAGGGGAGAGGTGGTCGAGATGGCGTGGATGCGGCCGCGCATGTAGGGGGGGAGGTTCACGCGGACGGCCTTAGATGGCGGCGGGAGGAGGAAGAGGAGGGAGAGGAAGAGGAGGGGGAAGCGGAGCATGGTGGGGGGAGGTGGGGGGAGGTGGGGCGGCGTGCTGGGGGATGCATCGCGGAATGTGTAAAGGGCCGATTGTTTTCCGGGGTGAGTTGCTTAACGAGAAAACATTTTGTGGGGATGTTTTCAGGGCGTGGGAATGGGCCGTGGTGAGTAAGGAACATGAGAGGTGGCACCGGTGCAGAATGACAACGACAGCACGTTTTGCCTTGCTGGCATTGATCTATGGGCAGGCAGGCATTTGTTGGTGTGATGTGATCCCGGTCTTGTATAATACAAGCACGTGTACGACGTGTACAGTACGAACACTGAACGCATTTCCAATAATTTTTTCAACCAATTCATTCATGCCAAGTTTCAGGGTGCTCGGGTGCTGGCACGGCGAACTCTTCGTTAGGAACGGCCCTGAATCTACGTATGCCGCCAACCCACAGTATATGATTTGATTTTCATTTCAATACAGTACCGTTTGGGTAGGTGAACACGTGGCAACGAGTGTGCAATGCCCCACAGCAGATCAAAACCAACCCCCCTTTCTCATTGAACACGTCATCCACGTATCCACGCGCACGCGCACCACACGTGGCCAAGGGCCAGACCAACCTGTTTATGACGTATTTGAAGAGGGAGAATTCTTCCGCAAGCATGCAGCAAAGAATATAGTCTGAAAAGAAGAAGTGTTGACGCCACGTGATGTTACTACCGCACATCGAAGTGCGATTCTGAGCAATGCGTTTTTCGAGATACATTGGTGCACCAGTAAAGCAATTCACTCGTACAACAATCTAACCCAGTCGCGTTTGAACAGCCGATTGGCATCACGAGTCTAACGATTATTGTCCAAAACGGCAATGGCAAAGGTTCAGAGCGACGGTGTTGAAAAATGGCCTTATGTCTGTGAGGCCAGTTGTCGACGCACAGTACACATACGGGTGTGCTTTGGCGATTTTTGAAGCCCCTGGTACAGTATATTCCTACCAACACATGAGTCTGTGAGACAGCCTCCGAACTGTCGGCCTGTCAATTGATGATGATGATCCGGTACCGGCTTGTTGAGGTCGGCCGGCGCCGACCCTAAAGTCCAAAAGCACAGGCCCACAGGGATCTACAGTAGCTAATGTTAGCTACTGTAGATCCCTGTCTGTTAACAGACTGTCCTAGAGAGGCTCAAGCATAAACCGGTTACGGGAAGGCATATGCTAACAGTACCGTCAAACGGGCGAGAAAAGGCAAACAGCGGATACATTCTGTCGCACGCAAAAGATACCGAGACTCCAAAACAGGTATAGTCGAGTATACCGTATACAGCGGTTCGAGACTCGCAATGGCTTGCACAGCGTCCCACGCCTGTACGTTCCTTCTGGAAAGCAAAAAAACTCTGTGAGCTATGGCATCGAATGAATAGTTGCATATGTAGCTCAACTAATTATTTACACGTGTGCACTGTACACGTGCCTGTAAACAAGGTGCGTGCGCCGTGCGCCATGCCAGCATGGCTACCGGCACGTACTCGAGTAGTGCACGTAGTGCAACGACTCATTGCGCCCCAGTCGCCTCCACTCCAAACGCGCCAAGTCTCCTCAAAAGCACCGTTACACCTTGCGCCCCGTGCCAGTGCCTCTGTTGAGCTGCAGCCTGGGAAGCTCAACCTCCGCTCAACCACCCTGCGCTCCCCATTGATTCTGAGTCTCGCCCCTCTCCCGACCCCATCTCCGCACTAACCTTCCCACCGTTCCCACCCCCACGATGCGCCTCGCGCTGCTGCTGCTGTTCGCGCTGCGCGTCACGCATGCCCTCTCCGCCCGGAACCTCTCGCGCGCCGGCCTGACGTACGACCCCTGCACCTCGCAGGCCGACTGCCAAGGCGACCGCGACTGCCTCACCCGCCTCAGCCTGTTCGTGTGCCGCGAGTCCGAAGACTGCATCTGCTTCCCAGACAGCCTTTTCGACTGCTCCATCACCCCGTGCGTCGCGCCGGAGGTCTGCGTCTCGCAGAACTCCGCCACGCCCTCTTGCGTCTCGCCCGACGCCGCGGCTGCGGACCCATCCTTCGTCCCCGTCGAAGGCGCCCCACCGCCCGTGCCCGGTGACGCCCCACCACCAGACGTGCCGGACCCTCCCCCGCCTGCAGACCCGGCCCCACCCGTCCCCGACGACGAAGACGACGGCTTCAATAACGACGAAGACGACGGCTCCGATAACGACGAAGATGACGACGTAGACGAGGACGAAATCGTCGACGCTGGCCCGGCCTCTCCTCTCCCGACAGCTTCGCCGGTGGGGGGGCCGGACCCTGTCGCGCCGCCAGCCCCTGTTCCTCCGTCGCCGGACCCGTCGCCCGCACCGGTCGCCGTGCCTCCGTCGCCCGACCCGTCGCCCGCACCGGTCGCCGTGCCTCCGTCGTCGGATCCGACGCCGCCGCCGGCCGACCCGACGCCGCCGCCGTCAAGCCCCGGGCCCACACGCACCCCCGCCCCGTCTGTGGCGTCGGGAGTTGGCCCGGCACCCGGCGCAGGAGGCGGCCTGGCAGGCGACGAGTGCAACCGGGACACGGGCTGTCTGGCCTACCGTCGCTGCGTCCAGCCGGAGCCGGTGTCGGACGGCGTGTTCGAGCCGTGCAAGCGGGACCAGGAGGGCTGCGTGTGCGCAGGCAGTCGCCAGTGTGGCTGCGACGATGACTGCACAGATGGAGAGCTATGCTCTAACCCAGGCAATACCTGCCTCTCGCCGACCCTCATCGATAACCTCGCGTGGATGACCACCGTTCCGTGTGAGAGCAGCGATGTGAGTCCCGTGCCGTCGCCGTCGCCTGTCACAGGGTTGACGGGCGATTCTTGCCGCATTGATGACAACTGTAGATCGCCAAGATTATGCCGTGCGGGGGGCGGGAAGAGTTGTGCGGTTGCGCAGAGCCTGTGTGATGCCGATGTGCTCGAGTGTACAGACGCAGATAGGGACTGCTATTGCTATACAGCGATTCGGTGTGATTGTAATGATGAGTGTAGGGATACCGAGCAGTGCACAGAGCTGCCGAGAGGGCGTTTTTGCGCGTCCAAGGATATCATTATGCAGTCAGATTGGTTGAAGGATATTCCGTGCGAGGGAGGTGGGGAAGAGGAGAGTGGAGGGGAAGGGGATGCGGGTGTAGATGGTGATGCGGAAGGAGAGGATGATACTGAGAATGGAGATGAATCCACCAGCGTGGTCGTAATCGATGTCGGTATTCCTTCGCCGCCACCGGGGTCCTCCGAATTGGATGGTTCCGACACATTGTCAACGTCGCCGGAACCTTCGTTACCTGAAGTCATCTCTAGCGAATCGACATCAGAAGATTCCGATGATGATGATGATGATGATGATGATGATGTCGTTTGCATTGATGCCGCCGCGTTGGATCACGTAGCCCGCCAAGACTTGGTATTTTCGAACCACGTCTTGAAGGCAGTGCTGTGTGATATGTATGGAAGTTGCGCGACAGACGGACATATCGTAGAGTATCGAGGGCACGCTATGATGATGAGGACGTATTGCGATCTTGTCGGATGTTCGAAGAGAGAAGTGGAGGTCAATAGCCCTAGATATAGACGCCGATTGCGGGTGCCTTCACGTACAGAAGGACTTGAGTTCACTTCACTTGCGGCCCGATATAGCACGAGAGTAGAAGAGAGAATGCTGGCGATTGTGGTTCATATTGGGCTGTAGTGCACGCTGTTTGATTCGGTTGCATTGCGACTGGAAAACTTATTATTGTGTCACGAGCTGTGTTGTTGTCGAACTCTTCCGCGCGTGACTTCGTAGTTTCTGCTATATTGGAATATTAAACTCACTAACGAATTTTCGCATGAAATGAAAGATATCTCGAGAACAGAGGTTTAGCTTGCCACGGAAACCCCTTACTGAGAAGTTGTGAAAAACAGCGTTCCACTCATTGCCACAACAGTCTTCCTGGCGTTGGGATACGCACTCAAACTCTACATCTCTGCACAGACGGCCATACCAGCACACAACACGCGAGAATAACTCTTTTCGTACTTCTGGTGTCCGTGAGATGCATGTTTAACATATCCTGTGTTACTGCACATTTTGGCAGTGCCACCGCGCTCACCCAGGATGAATCGTGCATTCTTCTAATATGTACTGCTCGTCGGAAGACGTCGTGTGGTGAAGGGCTATCAGCATCCGCGCATTTACCGTTGAGGCGCATTCCGGCTGCACGGCAGGCGTTGAACCGGAGATGCATTTCCTATTTCAAGACGCCGTTAGGATTCTGCGTCGAATATGCTTGGTACTCCTCATGCCACTAGGATTATTCAAAACTAACTTTTTGGGATGCCCTGGAAATTCGCACTGGGGCAATTGCACACATCAAGTCATTGAACTGAATCACCTGAGAAGACTCCCCTCTTCTTTGTCCGTCCTTCAAGAAAGATGGCTTTGGAGAGAGGTCGTCACTTCTTCGTGCGCATTTTGGACTTAATACTTCAAAAAACCTCCATTGCGACCCTTGCGTGCTGCAGTAGCACAAGAACGACCACTGCATGAATGCAGTCGATCCTTCTCCTATCGCCTCTTCTTGATGACTTTTGCACCACTAAAACCAGGTATGCATAGCGCTGCACTCTTTGGGCACCACGTCATTCCCGGGCACTTCCATATCCACTCAGTTCTTTCAACCGCATATTTTACGTCATTCGAATCTGTCAGATTGCGAGTTGCGCGCCATTCAGAAATCGCGAGACCTCTTCCTGCAGTGTTTCAATCAATTGCAGGCAGTGGGCGCCATCTTTTCTCGCGCAGCGGCGGTCCACCCCGCCAACTGCAGTATTGTTTGAAAAAACAGTTTGGCGCAGTAATTCGCACTAACAGAATTAAGCATCGCAAGAGTTTGCCAAGTGTACAATCGGTTTTGCAGCCAAGTGGTTTGTCCACTTGCCGGACGAATAAGCCGAGCAGAGGCACGTTCAGGCAGGAGGCCCCTCAAAGCGACTAAAATCCTACAAAATGCTAAATCATTGGGGTTAACTACAATAGAGCAGTAGTTGGGGCGGATAATATGAACATTCAAAAATTGCAACACGACTGTTTCATGACGATCGATGGTACTGAACTTTTAACCATCACCAATCCCTCGGTACGTCCAAACCACCGCCGGCTATGGGACCCTGGCTCACGTTGTTATGAAGACTGGTAATACGAACAAGTACTCGCCGCATCACACTATTCGCTTTATCCATTTCAGTTAAAACGGCGTTATATTGTGAAGACATACAGAACTTCTATTTAAAAAAAAATCTCAAGGATCAATGACAGCTATGCGACGCGGTTCTGGTACGGGGGACTTGGCAATGGCGTGCCAGCTGCCTGCATTGCTTGCTGATGTGCTAGATTTCTTTCCCTTGTCTTCCGCATGTAGTCTGAGCCTGATTCGTCATCTGAAGAATCGCCAGAGCTGGAGCCTTCATCATCGCTTTCACTGCCACTCCCATCCGAGTCGTCTGAATCCGAACTCGATTCGTCAGAGTCGTAGAATGATTTGGGATTCTTTTCCCCGTTGCCAGACTTGCCCTTTGACCGCTTTCGATGCACAGCGCGGATTTTGTCCATCTCATCCAAGACTTTCGAATGGGTCATCTGGTACACATCAGCGTTCGGCCCGCTCTCTATTGGGCCCTTCTTGTTCTTGTATAGAGTCTGTCTCACAAGCGCCTGAATGTCTCGAAGCGTCTTGTTGTTCATCGACTCAAAGTCCAAGACGATCTCCTCATCCTGGGTAACTTCAACTGAAGAGTTTTGGTTTTTGGATGCCAATGCGATCACCTTTTTGATCTTTTCGGGCGGCAGCTTGAAGATACTTTGACTCAACTCGATGATTTCATCCTCCGTCACTTTCACACTATACAATGCTTGTGCTTCTGCTACGTAGGAAGAAAGTCCCGTCGAGGAAGCAGCTGGCGAACCTGGTTGGGTTACTGCTCGCTGCCTCTCGAGAGCGCGGAATCGAGCCTCCAACTCTTCTGCACTCATGCTATCTACGTTTTTAGTAACGACTGGTGCGGATTTCGCGCCAGTCTTTTTGCGACTGTTAGTGGTAGCCGCAGTCTTGGGCTTACTGCCCCCCGCGGGCACCTTCTTCTTCGCTGTCGGCCGGTTCTTCGGTTGACTGCTCGCGCCACCCTCCCCAGACTTGCGGCGCTTGACCGACTCATGCTTCTTCGACCCCTCTGTGAAGCTGGTCTGCCCCTTTTTCCGCTTTTTGTTCTTCTTCGCGGCCTGGGCGGCAAGCTGTTCGAGCGAGGGCATCTGTGCAATTTTTGCCTCAAACTTTTCCAACAAACGCTTGGCAGCTTCGTAAAAAGTGTCGCCGGGGCGGTTGTATGTCTGCGCGTTCTTGAAAATGAGGCGCATGTCCTTTGAAAAGGCTTTGGTGTCAAATGAGACTTCCTCGACCTCTTCTTTCCCTGGCGTTGTAAGATAGTGTCCAGACTCCAAGCGCTGGCGCACGGTATCCAGATCCATGGGGTTCTTCACGATATCAAAGTAGCCCGGCAACTGGTCAATGGCCCACAGTTGGTCGATTGGTTTCGAAAAGCCAAACGCGTCCTTCAGCCGGAGCAGATCTTTGATCATGCGCAAGCAGTGGGCGAGTTGGCGATTCTTTGACGCGGCAATCGATTGCAGGGACGGGACCTTCTCGCCGGGGTGCGAGGAAAGTAGGACCGAAGGCGTGCGCACGCGGGCAGATCCGCGCTGGCCAATGGCGGGGGTCGTCGGCGGGGTGGCGACGCTGGAGCGGCGCTTGTCGCCAGCATCCACGAGCATAAGATCAATCTTTGAGGGCGGTCGCTTCGGCACAGCATCAACATCCAGGCGCATCGCGGAGGTATTCCCGGCGGCGGCTCTGCTGTTCGCGTGCGCATGCGTCCCATTCCTAAGGCCCCCTCCCCTGGGTCCGTGGTGTGGGCTGGAAGCGCCCCTCTTCCGCTTCGACGCGGGGCCCCTCCGGGCACCGTTGACGAGGGCGTCGCCGAACGCGGGCTTCCCGGTGCGTCGTATTCGGGCGAGGACTTGAATCTCGCCGTCTCCCGCCGGGTCATCCAAATCGTTGGAGTGGGCCGGATCCGGGGGGCTGCCGGCATCCGCGGAGACGACGCGCGCTAGGCGGAAGCGCTGC